ACCTCCCTAAGCGTAACCTTTGACTTCAATGACTCATCTACAAGTGTCTCAGGTCTTATTTAAAAGTGAGATTGTAGATTAAGTGTGCCTGTGAGTCATCAGTCATTTAAATTGGCAAATTAAGTTTTGTTGTCTGTGTCGCAGATGGTTAAACCTGACTTTTCATAGCATTAATATATTGATTATTAAACCTATAACTGTAATAGGTGGAGCAGAATAAAAAGATTTATACATACGCTGCAGAAATTCCCACAGACAGGTGATCACATCCCCAGACTTTTCCATCCATCCGGTGGGGTGAAAATTGTTGGTGATTCGTTTTGTGTCCATAAATTAGTTGTGTTTTCAGGTGTTGAAGAGCCGCTTTCTTATGAAGCAATAGAGGTTTTGCTCTGTTCATTTTCTCTCGCTCTCTTATTGTGTTTTTTGACCTCCTGCAAAAGCTCAAAACCACAAAGAGCTACTCGTTCCATCTAAAAAGTAAACTGAGTTCAGACTGTTTACAAATGACAGGAAGAACACAACAATCTGTTGACACACTTTTTCACCACATTTGCACTGTAAGAGGTGAGAGCAGGTGAGAGCAGGTGAGAGCAGGTGAGAGCAGGTGAGAGCAGGTATTCCCATCCCATTAATGAACCGGCTACTCAACCCTAGTTCCTTATCCACTGTTCTGCTGAAATGCAGCACTGCCCCTCGTTTCTTTACCCATTTTTCCAGAAGTGGTGCAAAACTAAAAAGAAACTGGGGAAAAAAGTAACATGACAGCACAGGAAACGACAAACCGAACATTATGGGATGCCGGTTTTCTTTTTCTTGGAAAAACGGGAAAAAAAGTTAGGCCAAGCATCAGGTCTCCACCATCTTGTGGCTTCCAGTGCTGCGCCAGCATCCATCCTCTGCAGTCACACGCACACACACACACACACACACACACACACACAGAGAGTACTTGTTACACATTCACATACGCAAACTAGCAGTAACCCAACATGAAGATGTGGTTGAGGCATTTTGATTGGCCTCTGGCCCTTTATTAACTACAGTTTATGAGGCAGAAGAGCTTCGGACCCATAACTTCCAACTTACACCCGAACGTCAAGTGCAAAAAAAAAAGGGGGGATTTTCTTTCCTGCCTTCTTTCTCTCTTTCATGGAGGGAACAGAATGTACTGAAGGCAGCAGGCAGCAGGAAGAGAGTGGCTAAAGCCCTAATGATATGGTATATGATTGTAACCTTGGTGTGTGTGTGCGTGTGTGTGTAATAGAAGCAAGCAGAATGGATGAACCTCTTCAACAGAGTTTTACTCACAAGTCTCTTGGTATTGGTCATTGAAGGCAGATTGAAGCCTCGTCCCTCCTCCCTCTCTGCTTCCCCTCCTCTTGAGCTTTGACTAACTCTCCTTTATTCGTACCATCATGTTGTCTTTTGTTTGTTTATTTCACACAACTTTAACACAGAATATATAAATAAAATGTCAAAGTATGTGTTGTGTAGAAACAAGACAATCAAGACAATTGCTTGTTAAGCAAGACAATCTAATATCAACATAACAGCAATTGATGGAAATGAGCATTTATTCATATTCGGTTAAAATTTACATCCACCTACTGTATATACCTGTTGTACTTCTAGGTCTGAAATGCTGTTACTTTTATACTCACAGTTTTAAACTAAACTTAAACTTTGTTGTTATTAAGCACAGATTTATAATGTAAGCACCTGATCGACCTGATTGTCGAGATCCATTTAATGCTAAAATCAAAATAAAGAAAACTCTTAGAAACATTCCTACATATTCTCTGAGTCCTAACTATCAAACCTAGACAGTGTCCTGGTTTGGAATGAGTTTCAGCCAGTGGCCTGGTTAAGAGTATTCAAGGCACAGCGAGGGACTGGCAGTGCCCTGGTTATTCTGTCATTAGGAATGTGTCTGCATAAAAGGGGTCAGTTTCGCTGCCTCACAGCCCCTACCCCCCTTCAGGTTTTCCACGATTGTCGAACAAAGCACAGAACAGGGGGAATGAAACTCTTGTGTTTCTTATGAGCCAACTTCAGAAAACCTCAACAGCCCACTCGTACCTTATTTTCTTCAACAACTTTTTTCGTTCTTGGCCAAACAACTTTTCATGCTTCAGTCTTGAGGCTGAATGTCAAACTTATTTGTGAATATACATATGTGGATGAAGAACAGGAATATTAGTGTTGATGAGCACTTGTCATGGGTCATGATTCTAAATGGAATTCATTTTTTGACTCAATACTCATGGTCTTCATTTCTCCATCATTTCTTTAACTGTGATCTCTTACCTCTCCCCTTTTCCTCCACTGGTTTCGTCCGTCATCTTTTCCTTCTCACCTACCATAGTTCAAATTCCTTCCGGTGCTGTCCTGACTGTAGCTAATGAGGCCCCATCCCCTGTGATAAGTGAATCAGGTATGTTGATTGGTCAGGCAGAAGTGGACCCTTGCCAGAGTCGCTTTGCACGCACTGCCACCCCTTTAAAGCGGCCACTTTGCACTGCTGGTGTGCGTGTCGGAGACAGAGATGGAAAGGAGAGATGAGGGAGGGAAAGGGGGTAGAGAGTTGGCAAAGAAATAAAAGGAGAATGAGAGGAGGGGTAGGCAGCCTGCCAAGACAGGAGTAGCCGGACCTAACGAAACACCATGCTAAAACTTTTTAAAAAATCATATGGATAGCCATATAAAGCCAAATTTATAAAAATCTAACTCAAAGGATATTTCATTATTTAGTGGGACAGGACAGTAGGACCAGCAGATGGAGAAACATCAGTTCAGATTGGTGTCCTGGACCATATCCTGCCTTATTCTCACATAGGCTCACTTGGACATTATCTAGAGTTTTTATGAGGGGCTGGCAAGAAAAAAATTGTCTGGACTGATATGGACATTTGCATTCTCACATACAGCTCTTTCGGATAATTTCAGGAGAATATCCGGAGTTCAGTGCATGTCTAAAAGTAGCTCTCACAATAAAATTCTCATTTTCAGTGGTGATATTTTCCCTGTGCTGCATAGTGCACTCTGAAGACCTGTCATAAAGAATTGAGCCTTGGCTATTTAATTTTATTTGTTTCCAACGTTTTCTGTTTTAAATGAATATATGGGAATTTTTCAAAGTATTTTTACTCCTCTGGAGCAGGACCATCCATCAGCACAGGTTTGGACCACGGCGACCACCTCAAGACAACAGACAAAAATTGAACTACAGCTCACTTAACAAGCCACAGCTGGGCAAAGCAAATGCAGCACAAAATCACTTTATTGACTAAGGTGTTCTGGCATTCAAGTGGACAGCTATGCTAGCAGTTTTCTCTCCAACATTCTTCCCCATTTATCTTTTCTCCAGCTCCCTCTTCAACCCACGTTCTTTATTTCCAGTCTTGCACTGCACCAAACCACCAGACCTCATGAAAGTAAAGAATAATTAAAATGCTATAGCTAAACGCTTTGAGTTCAGATTGTACTTCTTCATAAAGTTATCGTCGCCACATTAACTCTCAAAGCTTATTGCCTTGGTTTATGTTTAACAAGACCTTTAATAAATTATGGGAAGAGTGGGTTGGGCTTTTTGCACCAAATTAAACGATAGAAAATATATGAAGCTCTGTCGAAGTAAACCGTAATGGCCAGTTATACCTTGTTATATATACCATGTACACACATAGTTCATGTAGATAAAAAGAGTTGGTAAATTTACGGCTCTGATTGATGTTTTTACAGTGTTTTAAGTTATTTAATGTGAGAGAAAACTACCAGTTGTCTTTATGTGTCGTGGTTTGTAGCTTTTAGGAAGGCAGTCTTTGAACATGGTGTATGGGAATAGAAAGAGGAGACACATAGTGTTGGCTGGCTGTCGTGGAGGTCGATAAGTGATGATGTGTGCAGATGTTGATTATGTTCTAACCCCATGGGTCAATTGTTTCCCCTCTTGATCAGTGGGGGAAGCTCTGCAGAATGAAGGGGAGTGATGGGATTTAGGAGGAACAGGAATGCCTGCTACCTGACTTATACATGAGACAAAAGCATCTGCATTGATTAATGGAGGCCATGCTGACAGGGACACTGCTGTGTGCTAATAATCTATCTTCTCATTACATAGATCCATGCTGGGTCCACTGATGGGAGCTGGCTGTAGAAACCTAAATATGGTCCAACCTCTGAGGCCTAATTGTACTGACTACTAAGGTTTAGGACAACACAGCTTCAATATGTGGCAATGGTGGGACTGAGTTTTAAAGCTAGTATTAAAGCTCATGTATTTATTCCTTAAAGGGGCTAATAGTCCTGCAAAGTGAAACAGTTGTCAGCTTTTATCATTGCATCTATCTTGAGGGACCATTAATAGTAATGTGGTTACCAGGGTGACGGCCGTGTATATGAGCAGATGGGACACATGAAGGAGACTGGTGTTATTGAGATGTGCTGCTGTCAGCAGAAGTGGGCAGGCAAGCAGAAATCGATGCTGGATTCAACAGTGGCGAGATGTCAAAGTGTGTGTGTGTGTGTGTGTGTGCGTGCGTGCATGCATTCATTTGTAAACCCCCACATTCACACTGAGCTGTACCATCCCCCCCAGCTCTGTTAAAGGACGACAAGGTGAAATACAAGGTGGTTCAAAGGTAAAAAGGAAGAGTGGTGCAGTTCGTGGTATTTGAGAAACCGATTCTCGGTCCTATTTGTAATGTTGTCAGACAAAGATTGTGTATGGGCCAGATTGTGTTGAAGTGTGTTTTTATACTCCATGCGTTGGTGTTTGGCCTCATTTTGTCTTGTGCTTTGTGTCATAGCAATTACACTGAACTGTAAAACCATACAGTATGCTGACTGCACTTATCTGCTACACCGTGCTGTCAGCTAATCTCTGTCTTCCCTCTCTCTCCTTTTCTTCACTTACCAAGCCACATTTTGAGAATGCAAATGACTGTCATTGACAAATTAGAGATGACTAACTGCTGCTTCCTCTGTCCCTCCTACAGATGACAGATTCCTCTTCTGAACACAGACCCAAGGGATCTTCAGAGTTTTAAAGCGACAGGCACTAAAAGAAAACAAGGCAGAACATCAAGAGAAAAGGACTTGCTGTCACTACCACACAAATGTGGACCACCCAAAACGGTGTCATCAAATAGTCTGAGTAACAAAATATATATAACTGATTAAACATATCTGTGTCGCCATGTCTGATTGTAAAGACATGACACATCGCCACTTGCGGCACAAGCTTCAGAGTCTTGGCCGCAGACTGGATGAACTTGAAGAAGCCACCAACAAGCTGCAGAAGTCCGAAGATGAGCTTCTTGACCTCCAGGTCAGTAGTGGTTCATTGAGTTAAGTGAGGTAGAACAGAAATGCAATGCAAGAATAGATTAATGACTGACTGAACTCTTTCTCTTGCACAGGACAAGATCATCCAGGCAGAGGGCAGCAACTCCTCCCTGCTTGGCGATGTGGAGGCCCTGAGGAAACGTCTCTTGAAGATCCAGGGTAAAGATGAGGAGGTGCGCAAAGCTGAGGACCTCTGTCGCACTGTCAGGGAGAAACTGGAAGAGGAGGAAAGTCTTACCAAGGAGCTAAAGGCCGATATCGAACGTCTACAACGGCGAATGGCCGAACTGGAGAAACTGGAAGAAGCCTTTGGGAAAAGCAAGTCTGACTGCAGCCAGCTCTGCCTCAGCCTAAACGAGGAGAAGAACTTGACCAAGAAGCTCTCGTCTGAGTTGGAGACTCTCAAAGCCCGTTTAAAGGAGATGGAGGGTTCTGAGACAAAGCTTGATAGAGCAGAGAAGGCTTTGTCTTCAGAGCTTGAGAAGCTCAAGGGATTCAGCCAGACCTTTGTGAGTGAGCGTAAGAGGCTACTAGAGAAACAGAGAGAGGATGAGAAGATCATTCTAAAGCTGACAGAAAAACTGGAGCACCAGAAAAATCGCCTTGGCATGTCTACAAATCCTGGCCGGACGGATTTAATGCGGTCACGAATTGAGGATGAGCTGTCATCCACAGGGCTGCTCTCAAGTAAACTGGGCAGTCACAAGAAGAGCCTTGACTACTTCAAGTTGCCAGATGACAATATCAGTCTTGTGAACAAATCCGAAAATGAGAAGAACAGTGGTATTGAAGGTTCACAGGAAGAGGACAACAAAGTGAAAGAGTTGACGCAGGAAGTTGGGAGACTGAAGAATCGCCTTAAACAGCTGGAGATAGTGGAGGAGGATTTGAAAAACTCAGAGTCCAAAAATAGAGAACTTCATGAGAAGTTCCAGATGGAACGAAACCGGGCTCGCCAATTGAATGAGCAGGTGGAACAGCTCAGGACACAGCTGTGTGGAAAAGGTGGGATTGGAGGAAATGGAACCAGCAATATAGATAAGCATGGAAATGGAAGCAGTAACATTTGCCCCCCTAATGTCCTGGAGAATGGCAAAGCTGAGACTGAAGAGATTATTGTCAAGGGTGGTTTCAGACAAGAGAAGCCTAAAAATAGGAGTGCTGCAGCTGTCTCAGAACCAAGCTCCCCTAAACACAGGAACAGGGAGCTCTCTCCTCAGCATAAAAGAGAGACTAAGCTGAGGAGCAAAGAGCTGAGCCACTCTGAGGAAAGCTCTCCTAAGTCTGCGAGGAGAGCCCTTAGTCCTGCTTCCAAGAGCAGGAGGACACCCAAAACCTTAACTACTGCAATGTCATCCGATAACGGAATACGGGACACAGGACGAGGAACCGAGGATAAGTCAAGAGGAGCCACATTTAGCTCTGTAAATACACCTTCTAGTGATATTAAAAAGGTGTCTGTTCTTAGTCGTTACCCTCCAGCTGCTAATGCCCAGAAGCCACTGAGGACAACTAACAAACAGACTGATGGGGAGACAAAAAAGAGCAGAGTAGAAAAATCTTCGAAGTTGTACGTTGGTAGTGATAGTGAATCAAATAACTCGGATGTAGTGCCTGAAAGCTCAAGTAACATCAACAGTCTCTCTGCACAAGAGAAGGACACAGCGTCTGCCTCAGATCAGGAATCAATAGACCAAGTTCAGGAATCGGTCTCTGGAGCTTCCACGCTGTCCAAAGCCAATGGATCGTACACAGCCTACAGATCTCAAGTCACTCCTCTGCTGACCAGTGACCATGGGTCGGAGGGTCATTCTTCTGCCTCGGAAACAGAATCCACCGGTTCAAGACCCTCTGAACCGGAGCCTGTGACTGAGACAGCTGCTACAACCATAAGCAGCAGGACCACAACCTCCAGATATCCTAGATATTCCCATGTCCATGACTCATATTCAGAGGGCTCTTCCTCCAGGAGTTCATTTGATGAGGAGCTCCACAGCAGGACACAGTTTGCAGAGGGGGGCCACCAGGGGCCAACGCATACTCCGTCAGGGATTGAGATCCAGCGAGTGTGCAGCCCACGTGAGGCACTGAGGTCAAGAGCTGTCATCAAGCCTGCTATTGTTGAGATTGATAGGAAAGAAATGATGATTTCGGAACCTTTGTCTACCAACGGCAAACCCAAAATCTCTACCAAACCAGTTGTGACCACGACTAGTAAAATGACCAGTAGTATAACCATCTACCCCAATGACCCGAGCTCTTCCAGAACCAGCAGCCGCAGCAGCAGCGTGTGCAGTGAACCCATGCCTGTGAAAGAGCGACACACCTCCACCAGTAACATCCTCATAGGTACGTTTTGACGATTCATTAAATAGTGTTGCTTCAGTGAACACCAGAGTTCCTGACACACATAAAACCTGTATGAAGCCTTTTATTGTCAGAAATCCTGACCTGGTATTTTGTGAATTCCATAATTCAACACTTCAGTTCACACAATGTGCCATGTTTAACTGGAGCAGTACATTTATAATGGAATAACTGGAAGCAAATTGCATCACATTTGGCTCTACTTTCATAGTAACTTACTGTATTGAGTATAAGAAAGATTAAAAAAGGGGTTATTTTCCATTTACTGGGATCATTAAAGTACCAAATGGTGACTTATATTTAATGTTTCTGTATCAGTGCTATGAAAAACTGTAACTTACAAATATATTAGAATATTAGGTATTGTATGAAAACTCACAGCTCAGTGAGGATGGACCCGAACACGCTGCCAATGTCAGCTTGCTTATATGCTCACAGTAATACTTATTATGTTGACATTTAATAGAAAACTCCAGGAGCATAGAGAACAAAATACTGACTCACTTTGTCATATATAGAACCACATCACTGGGATGGCTTAAATGTGGTAATATGAAGGATATTACAGTACTCATGTCTTTAAAATGTTTTGCTGAGAAAATATTAAATATATTTTACTAATTGCCAGGTCCCAGCAATGAGCACCTTGGCAGTATTTCCGTCCCATATGAATTCTCCATCCCCAAGAGTGAGATCGCTTTGCGGCCGTGCCAGGACCCGGACTACGGATCAGACGACCACAGTGATTCCTCATCAAAGTCCAAACTCCACAACACCTCCAGAGTGGAGACCAGTCACCTGTGCTGCCAACGCAGCAACTTCAGCCTCCAGTCACCGGATGCCACATCCGCAGACTTCAATGACACAGAGTCGGGCTTCGAGAGCAACAGCAGTACCACCACGGTCACCAGCTGGAGAAGCCAAAGACAAAGCCAGCACTCCCAAGAAGAAAGCACACCAGATATGAAGAATGTGACTGTGAGAAGCACCTGGAGGAACAAAAGCCCTGCCTCAGTGGATGAGATGGGACGAGGGGCGACTAGGGTGATGGCAGACGCTGGATCTGAAGACGAGGCTGAAGGTGCAACAACATGGAGGGCTTATCGGGCAACTACCACTTTTGATATGGAAGAAGCGTGTGCTGTTGGGAATGCTGCAGCACAGAAGGGAGGCAAGCCATCTCCTGCAGAGGTGAGAGAAAGATTTTTATGAGACAACGTTAAATTCGAAAAGAAAAGGTATGTTCTATTACATCGATGCACAATGTGGCTCTTCGTGTTGCCCCCTATCCCAGGTCTACATGCAGAGGATCAACAGTGGGGTTCCAAACACTAAAGAATCAGAGGAACCACTGATGCGCAGAGGGAAGCACTCCCAGTCTCCTGCTTTGGAAACAGGAGGCATGGGAAGGACTATACCCCATGCTCCTGTCACCTCTCAGTCCTGGGGACGATCGTACACCCAACAACCACCGGTAAGACAACCAATTTAAAGTTTGTGCTCTTTTCTGCTCTTGTTAAGTAAAGTTGAACACTAGTTGAAACACTAGCTCAATCTAAATAGTCTTTGTTTCACACAGAAAACATTTTAATATGAATTTTTCATTACAAAAGCAACATTTGTTTAAAGTAGAATGCAACTTTAAATTTTTTTTATTTGACTATAAGGATGGGAAACTTGTCCTATTAATAACACACCAACAGCAGCTACCACAAAAAATGTTTATCCCTCTAAGAATAGTCATGGTTGTCCATAACATATCTGTCATCTTTATTATGACAAACATATTTACGCTTTTGTTTATATTGAACGCAAGTGCAATTCACTGATAGTATTGTCTTGCCCTTCTCATTCATTGTAAACTTCTCAAACATTTCTTGCCAAAGGCAAACATGCTCTTAAGCTATAACTGTATATGTGGCTTCTAGAAAAAGTCTCTGCCAGATAAGAATTTCCACACAGGTGGTGGTTGTGATGTGTAACCGTCTGCAAGTAGTTTTGTCTTGAAGATAAAAGGTCAGAAAGTGCAGCCGCAGGGCTCAGTTCCTGGTGTGTCCACTTTGCATGCAAGCTCAGCTTGTATTTTTCCCTGACGCCAGGCTCTGCAACTTCAAGCTTAGCACAGCACTTCTGTAGGCCCCACTCCTGCTGCCCCAGTAAGGACAAAGAGAAAAGGGTGGGACAAAAAACAGAAGAGGGAGGATGGAATTGAAAAAGACCTCAACAGGGGGAAAAGAAGGTTCGGAAAACCTCACTGAGAAGAAAATAGCTTTCTTGTATTTAAATGTGCAACCACATTATAGTCTGTGCCGCTGCCAGGCTGCATTTCTGTTCAACACAAACATTACTGAGGAACTAATACTTACTTGTGTTTTGTGTATTGTTCCATATACGGCTCTTTTTTGCACACACATGTTAATCCATCACTTTGCAAGAGCTTTGAATTTATGTTTGTACCTGCAATTAATAAAACTAAGATATTTTCTCTTCACATCTAACATGGCAACACTGTCAGGCCAACCTGACATTTATCTTCTCTAACACTGTGATTGTGAAGTTGCTTAGAGAGTCTGACTGATACATTGATTGGCTGATAATATTGGCTGCTATGAGCCTTTTTCTGACAAACAGGTATCACCGTTTATAGCTGTTTTCAGACAGGACCTTTGGAGGAACTCAGGAGAATTGGGTCCAGACTTTTGCTGCAGTTTTCTTTTGACACATGCGCAACACAGTGGGGGGGTTCTCTGCTCTAACGCGTTCACAACAACAACAAATCCTCCGCAGGATTCAGGTGAGGGGTCGTGCAGAGGTAGGAAGTAATGTATTAATTCAGCTGCAGAAATCACATGAGTTTGTTGACAGCACATCGACATTGGCTCCAAATTTTTCACCCGGAGATATCTTTTTCTGTTTTTTTTCCTTTTTGTGTCAGTTACATGTTACCAGTCCACCCACTTGCTTGCGATGAATCCAGCGGGGGATCCTCTGCTGTGTTCTCACATAAGATTCTGCAGCTTTTCCTGTGTACTTTATACTAGTGTCCACAGGAAACATATCGTCCAATATTTCCATATTTCAAATGTTTTAATCAATTATTTTGGTGCATTGATACTTAAAGTCCATATCAGTCAGGCTCTATTTAAAATCAACACATGGGCAGGATTGATTCCTAGTGACTGCATGTACATGTTCACATGTATTCACATGTGAGAGTGTGTATATATGTAGGACTTAATTAATGGAGTGGGAACGTTTATACAAGACCCCAGAAAGATGAGGTGAAAACTACTAATGGGCTGCAGTATTAACTCACTTGTCTATTGACGTATGATATATTGTCAGATGGACAAAGACGGCTCCATGGCTACAATAACATGCCAGTCTGTCACTTTGACTAACTAGAGTGGACTTCAGGCCTTTGGGTAAAATCCCCCTATAAATAAACTGCATGTTGCCAAAGGGCACACACACACACACACACACACACACACACACA